GACTCCCATATGGACTTGCGTTGATTCCAGGTACAAATGTGAACAAGGTGATTTAGTTGTTTGAGCAACGCTTTGGGCGTGCGCAACAGCAAACAATTCCATGTGACAATACGATCCAGATGGAAGACCTATCAGGCCCACCTTCCACTGAAGAAGCCTTCCACTATCGATAGGTGGTAGGTATGCTGCTTTATCTCGCAAGACCTGATTTGCTGGTTTGCTTTTTGTGGTGACAACACCTCTTTGAGAATCAAAGATGAATGCCTTATTTTCACGACAACAAAAATTTGTCCCAGTGGGACAAATTAACAAGACCAAAAAAAAAATAATCTCTGAAACCACCAAACAACAAACAAACACAAACAGTAAACAGTTTGTTGGTTGTCTCCCTGTTTAACTGGAAACATCGATGATACTTCATGTTCACATGTGTGATTTTTCATTCGTTTGATGTTTTCCGTTTCAAGGGAGGGTTGTTAGCGAAAATAAGAAAAGGTTTCGCAAAAGATGAGTTCTCCCGAGTTCTCCAACGGTTGGTGCAGTGCAAAGGCTTCGAAAAGTGATTGGTTACCTGCGCAATACAGGTGACTTTGCAGTTGCCCTGGAGAAACCGATTGCTGGCCATGGACGTTACAAGTCCACAGGTGAGAAGGTTTGGATCCTTGAGTCCTTCAGCGATGCTGACTGGAGTTCCAACCGTGTACATCGACGTTCAACGTCATGCGGTATCCACTTGCTGAATGGTCAGGCGGTCTATGGAAATAGCAGGACACAGCGTGTCATATCACTTTCTATCACTTTCTTCATGTGAGTCTGAACTGCACAGCCTTGTTTCAACACTTTGTGATGGAGTCTATATCAAGGGATGCACTGAGTTTGTTGTGGGAGCTTCAATCGAACATGTGTTGCTGACAGACTCTTCGAGCGCGAGGCAACTTGTCAACCGCCAGGTACTGGAAAGCTGAAACATGTGGATGGCAAAATTCTATGGATTCAAGGGCATGTACGACGAGGTAGCATTTGCATACGTCAAGTTTCTACAGTCTGGAATGGCTGATTTACGAACAAAAGCTCTGGCAAAGGAACGTGTCATGCTGCTGCTCCACGAGAATGATTAAGAGTTTACTCTAAACATGGCCAAGTGCGTGTTGGCCAGGAAGAGTTTGAACAACAATGGTCGAGACATGGTGGCAGCAGGCAACTCAGCAAGTTGGCAAAAGCGATTGCCAGAATCATATTTGTCATGGGCCTTGAGCCTGGCTTGGTCGCTGGTACAAAGATTCCTGGAGATGGTGAAGATCAGTGCGAACTTGGTGCTTCGCAGAATGACACTGGTGACGAATATTTCTGGATTTCTTTTGGATGCTGGTTTTGGTTCTACTATGGTTTGGCATGTTGGTTGCTGCAGTGAAATTTGTGCAATGGACGAGAAAAGAGTTCAGACAGCATGCATGGCAGTTGGCAGATGAGGACAGAGCATACATAGGCCATCAGGACTCAGTTGACAGAACATCAGAACGTGTTGCCCCCTTGGAAGGATGGGTAGCAGGTCTGGAGGGACAAATCACTATGGTGAGTGAGCACTCCTACTCGGAATCCGTGCATCATGGCCCAGTTGAGTTGGGTGGCTTTACAAGGGTCGCAGACCTAACTGCAGAAGAAAGGCGTTGCGTTTACGGCCTGAGAAGGGGGCCAATCTTGTGGTTCGCAATGCTATGGGGTCCAACTTCTACCTGAGAGGAGTTCGGCAGCAATTCCATGGATACAACAGATGATCCCATGTCTGGAAGTGAACAAACAGAATCAAAAATTCCGACAGTGGACCAAAATGTGTCTGCAGGCAGCTCTAGAGATAGACCCGTTGGTGCCGAAATCATATTGAATGACCTGACGACTCAGCTCAACAATGCGTTGGCCCGCGAGCACTGGAGGGATGCTCCTATCCTCCAACATCTGATGATGGATTTGCTGGACTTGACCTACCAAAATGGATTTGAGAACCCAAATCGCTGTCGAAGGTTATTGGACCTATTGATTGGACCTATACTGATGTGGTAGCGGTCTACGAGGCCCATCTTCGTCAGTGGAGGCTGATCCCCAGATGACTGAGCTTTCAGTCGAGACTCGAAACCTTAGAGGAGGAGTGCGAAAATGTGAGATCAGCACCCATGGACACCATATCAGTTGTCGATCCATTTCGCTTGAGATTCAGAAAGATGACACGCAAACCGAGAAGTGTCACATTTGCTTGCATGAGAAACTCATGTCAACCCGTGTGAGGCCTTTGGCTTAGATGTAAAAGGAGTGGCAGCTGCTACGCAATCAAGGAATGGTTCGCGCATGTGGTATAGAGTGAGGACTGAAGCAAGCTTGAGTGATTGCCGGTGCCGTGCAGAGCTGCATGACCTGTTGACACGAAAAGGCTGCAATCAGATGACGGCGCACAAGGTTTGTGTTCGCTGCTACGGGTCCCATATGATGAGATATGGGGAGGCCAAATCGTGCAAAGCCTAAGTCTGAAAAAGGTGTAGACATATTTATCTGGACGATGAGACCGCATCGTGCAACCCCTGGGTCTGAAAAAACGCGATTGTTTCTGATTGTTCCGCATGGTAGGCCTTACCTTCTACACCATAATCTAGACATCTTTATAGATGTGAGCTGCTTCTACTCCAAATGTCGCCGGTTTGCAAGGGCTGCTGTGGGTAGTATATACTCACCAGAGGTGGGGTCCTTTTCCTTTCCCGTAGAAGGCGCCGATCATTCTTCCCAGAGAGCTGAAATTTTTGCACTGGCAATCGCGCCCTAAGGCTTTTCAGTGGTAATGTTACCGTCTATTCTGACTGCGCCACCGTTGTCAAAGGTTATGAACTTTTGCAGAACAATGGTTTTGAATTGAGCGTGTTGAAAGGATGGGACAACCTCGATGCTTGGTAATCAGTGTGTAAGGCTGAGACCCGCCGACTTGGAACAGCAACTGTCTTAAAAGTGGCCGCTCACGGTCGATGTAAGAACCAGAACCCTGATCTAAGTGAAGGAAACCGTAAAGCTGATGAAATGGCCAAGGCCTGTGCTGATCAGTTGTTCAAAGACCAGTTAGATGATTTGACCTGTAAAATTGCTCGGGTTCTGGATCTTCAGAGCCATTTGATACGTCAATTTTGTCAGAACACTTCTAGCGCCATGTTGCAAGAATATGGATTGGACGCTGAATTCACTGAATCTTCTGATGTTAAAGTTAGTCCAGCCCAGAATTGCACATGTGCACCCTTGAAACGGATTCGTAAGAAGAGCCAAGTCTTGTGTCTGTGCCGTGGTGCATGCGCCCGGTCACTGCAGACTGCTACTGTTGAACGTGCTTTTCTTAATCTGTTGGATCGACGGGCAGAAATTCCGAATTCCATGTGGGCTTTGCTTGGGGATAGGTATCCTGTTCTCAAAAGCTGGATTTCTGCTCGTTCTGACCGTGTTGTGCCTGCTGATGTGAGTCATGTTGTGTTGTTCCCTAGACAGCGTAAACTTCCTCACAGATTGAAAAACATCATTGTCTCATCAATACATGATTCACATTGGGGAAAGGCATCTGGTCACTTGTCTGAGTACACTCCATGGGCATTCTTCATGATCGACGTCATCAGTGAGCATGGCTTTGTTCCTGGTGTGTTTGATGTAGGTCAGAGCTTTGGGCTGTTAATTGAAAGGTTCAAGTGCTATTGACTATTGGAAACATTTCTTGCGACCAGCTTTCCCAACACTTGAAGATGACTACAACGCGGCCAAGCACTGCACGTGCTTTGGCCTATCTACATTGTCAGCATTTCCTTTGCACTTGAAACTTCGACACCCCAAAGCACTTTGGTCAATTTTGATTCAGGCTTCTCTTTATTGTAATAAGGAATCCACTGGCTTCCGGAATTGTAGATCCCATTGGGTCCCTGATTGGAATCTGGTGTGATAACCTGCGATATGTTCTGCCATCAAATGCATGTCTCTTAGAGTTCGTTATTGCCATCGGCTTCGAGATACTTGCCTGCAAGGTATACAAGAGAGGGAAAAAAAACAAAAACCGTGGATTTTGATGGTGCAACTCACATTGTGATCAAACAGGCACAGGTAGCTGACAACAAAACGTGGTTTCTTGGCAATGCCAATTCTTTGTCATGCTGCAGCTCTATTCTCCAGAGTGGGCGTGGGTGGTGCCGGCTTGATTTCATGGCTGAAAAACTTCCACTCATTACCGCCCAATTTTTCAGCCAACACCCCTGCAGAAGGATGACACGCAATTTTAGGCGTTTCACAATGCGATGAAACCAGACTGTGCAACCCCGGAGTCTGAGAAGGCGTGTGTTTCTAACTGTATTGCCTCAATGGTTTTTGGCAATTGTTTCTTTTTGTGCGTGGTTACGGACCACAAACAACAGGGCCCTTTCTACCCCGATCCCGTCATTTTCAAGTCCACGGAGCGGCAGCCGCACCCCTCATGCAAATAATTACCGTGAGGAATTCTATCGCAACAACAAAAAACATGAATATACAATTTGCAAAGAATATTGGTGAATCAGCTCGAAAACATTCCCCGGCACATGCAATGCAATGCGCTGCTTTCAGCCTGGAATCCCAGCTGCCAACCAGTGCTTGCCGTCCCAGCAATTTGATGTCTCCGATTGTGGAACCAAACAGGAGTACAAACTTGTAATTTCAATTGTTCCCATGATCATGTTTGTGTTGATTTTCATTTTTTTTGAATTGAATCCTTCAGAAAAAGGGTGAAAGGTCCACATGTATGGGAGACGTATTTTTCAATAGTAAACCAGCATGTTTTTGATTTCACAACTGGAATTTTTGATTCTTTCACCTTGACAACTAAAATTTGTTGTTTTGCCAAGTCTATTCACAAACTCAACTTTCGTTGGCTACATGTCCCCATTTTGGTCAGAATTGTTGTTTATCTTTTAATGTTGCCTAAAAACCGGATACTGCATCGATCCAGCGATCACAAGGCCGACTTTCCCATGGACAGAAAGTGTGGGTAAAGGCCCTTGATGTGGGGGATTGCCTTGTGGAATTAGAGCTGGCACGAAGTCCAAATTTTTGATAACGTATAGACCGTATAGACCGTATAGACCGTATAGACCGTATAGACCGTATAGACCGTATAGACCGTATAGACTGTATAAAACTAATTATATATTTTAGATCTGGGTATTATCGAAAAGATGGGGGATGTGGATGGAAATGTCAGTTTGTGTCCGTGCGAACATAGGTATGTAGATACAACGACCAAACAATGGCCAAAAAAAAATTGTATGATTTGATGAGCAAACTGTAAGAGTGATTTCCGGAACAAGTCGACAGGTTGTAGATTTTTTTTTTGTTCCAAAAAAACGGTTCCACGCCCACGATCAGGAGGGTGCCCAGACCATTCACCATTTGATGATGTATTTTTCAGGTGACTTTGACCTGAGATCTCAGATATATTCCGCCAACCGCTCAGGAAATCAGGAAATGGCACATTCCACTGCTTGATCTGACCAAAGGGCACATCACCATTGCAATTAGATTAACCAGTTTTCTATTTGGATATGATTCGATGGATGATGCATTTACATTTTTATCCCTTTAGTTGATGGTCTGTGGGGGGTCATCTCAACATTGCCATTTCTAGAAAATTGACGAAAACATTTCCCTTTGTTGATGGTTATATGTTTGTACCATGTTATATCCAATCTATTCCAATCTTATCTTTATTGTTTTTCCATGTTTTTCCCATCATTTGCGTTTGCTGTACCTCCAACATCCGTGGTTCAAACTCTGAAACCTTAGAAGGCAAACATGGTTTCGGACGATTTTTTTTTCGCAAAACTTTTCACCTCCAAAAAAAAAACACGAAATTTTGGGGTTTCAAGTTTTCGTGATGGGTTCCATTTTGGATTGACCCCAAATCAGGCCCCAAATCCTGCGGTGCCTCAGGCCTTCCCCGGCCGCGGGCGACGCTAACGCCTCGGCCCAGGTGTGAGAAACCGTTTCGGAAACCGTTGCGGACCTGAAAAATCCCAAAAGGTCCGAATTTTCACGGGGGAACCATGGGAAACTATGGGAAACGATAAGGAGTGCATGTTTTTTTGGTTTGATTTCCCTGATGTTCAATGTCTTTAATTGTCAGATTAGATTGTCAGGGGGTATAAGTACATCAAGATGTGCTGATTCAGAGGATTTATTTTCTATGAAATCCGTTATAGTTTTCGAGGTGTAAGCGGCAATCAACCACCAACCTTGTCATTCGTTTGTTTTTTTATTCAGCAACGTGTCAGAATGCTGCTGTTGCCAATCCAATCCAAACCTTGCATGCTGTTGGTAAATCTCAGTTCCACCACAAAATTCTGCATTGGTTCTGGAGAAACTGTTAACACAGTTCCAAAACTTCGAAGAAAAGCAACCATAATTTGGAGTCCGACGGAAATGCAATGAATTTGAAGAATGGTTTCAAAATGTTTCAAATGTTTCAAATTCCTCCGGGTGCCTTTGTGAATTGTGCTGTGCTGTCCACTGCTCATCCAGTCCCAAATGTTCAATCCTTCATGTCGTATCTCGTTGCATCCCAGCGGTGAGGTCACACATCATCTCCAGGGCAGCACCATGTCAGGACAGGGGCGCGGCCGAGGCGGCTGAGGGCACAAAATCCAACCGGGATGATACACTGGGATTGGGATAAAGTCGTAAACATCCCTGATTTTTGACCTGATTTTTTCCGATATCAACGTCATCAACCAAGGTTGTTTTGATCCTGGTTGAAGGATGTTGAAGGGTACCTTGTTAGTGATCTGGACGATCAATGAGATGAGCAATAAAGGTTGAAGACTTCACACACCAAGATGGCGATCAAAACTGTGGGGAGCGTGGAGACAACTTTTTCACATCGGGAAAATTGTCGGCAAACATGGGGACAGCAGTGCCGTCAGACTTTCTCTTTCCCAAGTGGGGATGCCTACACCCTTTGGGGAAAACCACTCGGATGGAGACTAGGGGCCACCAGTGGGTGAAGGAGAGTTCCATTGTGATGGCTGGTGCGGATTATCGATTATCCATGATCATCCTATGATTATCCTAGATTTTATGACAACTACCCAGAATGGTTTCTTGAAACCGCTGGGACACAGTGAAGCCTTGACACGGATTATTCCTTGGATCATGACCACAAGAGTCTCCCCATTGCTGTTTGTTTTATCCCCATGATCGTTGACTAAGTTGACTGGATTCGCAGTGTTATTGGCTGTATTCCCACTATGGTGCTGTTGTGGCAATGTTCATCCGGCTGCTACTTCTATATACCATTATCATATCGCCATTGCGTCACGCAGTCTAGTTGGATAAGTCGTTGATCCTCTCCACAATCTTGAAGATTATTTTTATGCATGCAAGAAGTACTGTTAAGTCCAGTAGTCCTTTTCCCCCACTTGGTTTCCACCCGTTGCACGAAACATCACGAAACATCACGAAACATCACGAAACATCACGAAACATCCAATTCAAAGAGTTCTGCTGAGTTCTGCTGTGAAGTGCACTCAGTGCAGGAGGGCGACGTCTTGGAGCTGCGCATGGAAAGCATGACCAGCTCTGGACAGGCCAAAGGGCGGGCGGGCAAGGGGCGGCCAAGGGTTCAAAAGGAGGCTCTTGCGAAGCGATTGGTGTAGAACCAAAGTGTAGAACCAAAGAAACATGGCGATTTTAGCCACAATAAATCCCTCAGCCAGTGAACGCTGCAAATTAAAAAATCTGTAAAAAGGATTTTAAAGGGGATAGCTCAGCAAGCGTTTAATCAAATCAGGAAAGATTTAACATGATTTAACCCCCAAAACATAGGGCCATGGGGCGGTTTGAATCAAAAATGGTGATTTGCTCAGCATGGATCTCTATCTCTCAGCTGACTTCGTCCAGGCTCTGGGTCGCTTGGGCCCGACGCGATGGGTAGCATGGAGCCTGGTGGATCCAGTCCTGGGTCAATGGAGGGGTTAATTAAAGATAAGTGAAGCAACTAAAGATTGGGAGGAATTTATGATCAATGTCATGGGGCAATATCTCCCTTTTTGTTTGGATCTCCAACTCCATCTCAAAATGTTTTATCATCACACTGAATTTCTTGAATTTGGCAGGAGGTTTCTCATTTTAATCGCAAGAAAACGCTTTGTTGTTTTAAGTTTTAACCGTTAAACACAATTGGATCAAAGGCTGCTTGGATGTGCATCCAGTGGCTGGATGGAAAGACGTATGGAACTGGGCTTGATTCGGGCTTGATTGGCGTTCATCAATAAGTGGCAAGAACCCAATAAAATTGGAATAGAACCATAGTTACGTCGAATACCCGCACGTTATTCATGGCTTAAACATCTATCCAATAGAACCACTTCATCTAATGTAATTTGTATATCTAATACAAAATATCTAAGATATATATCTAAAATATATGATATATAGACATATATATTCATAATATACATATACATTCCATGTCTGATGGAAGATGTATATATATATATACACATATGTATACTATGTACATAAGTAAGAACAAAGTATTCAAAATATATAACGTAGATACTGCAGGCATATATAAAATTACGGTCTATATCTATACGATTTAGATGACATACATATATCATATGTCGTAAAATTTTTTGTAGATATTACACGTAGTACAAAAAATGGATAGATATATTGATTAACAATACAAAATAGAACTTGTATTTTCTTTTGGTTATATTGAAAATAATGTATCAACCCTGAAATAGATAGAACAGTTGAAAACCTGGGACTATCATCTACATCCTCCTGATTGGGGTTACTATCCAATACATGTAAATATATATATATATAATTATAGATAAATCGATAGATCACTCATAAACAACACATGTGTATATCTATAGATGGACTAGATTAGAATATATCCATGTTGTAGTCACAGATCTAAGCCCTCCAAGGTCTTCCAAGGTCTTCCAAGGTCTTCCAAGGTCTTCCAAGTACCTATCAGGTCATGGTCTTTGGCGCCTTGCCGCTGGAGCTGGTCCAGTAGACCCCGACACGTGACAACCCTGACTTCGTGGCCGGTGCCGGGGGAATTGATGAGTTATTGTAATTTTACGAATACAGAATAGTTTCAAAATTCGAAGTGCGGAAAATGTGAAAATTGAAAAAATCGAAATTGCGGAGTTTCTTCCCTGTACATTGCACGGAATTGAGGTTTTCTCTGGGACTATTGAACCAAAACTTGCAGTTGGGGATGCGTCCAATGTCTCATGCACTTTGCACCACTGTGCTGAACCCAATAAGCCTCCAATTGGGGATGCTGCAACCCGGTACCCGGCAAGTCTCTGGCCAAGTTCATGATCCCTTCCGCCAGGCTGAAGATCATTCGGAACTTCAAAGGCCGATCTGAGGCTGGAAGCAAATACCATCAAATACTTTATTGGGGTTCAAACCAGCAGTTATACAAATCTCTGTATTGATAAGTTGTGCCTATTTTGATTCGTTTTACAAGTATGTTGTCTGTGTGTACAGATCTTGGCAAAGATCTTCAACCATTTCAAGCCAGAGAAGCCATCAAACGCATCAAGTGGTTGGTTTCATCCCAAAGGTTCCGGTGTAGTTGGCCTTCCTAGTTCTACCCCAAAGATCCCATTTTAGATTCTATGATTCCATGTGGAAAGTTAGAACATCAATTGAAACCTGGAATGATTCGTACATACATTTGCGACATGATCCATGTGTATTTCTTCATTTGGAGACGACCTTTCCAGCATTTTGCTAATACAAACGATCCAAGTTGACACATCGTCATTGGACGATCCGAGATCTTCCGTCGAAGGCAAAGCTGCAGCGGATCTTGGAGAAATCGCCGGAACGGGTGGAGCCAAGGCGACGCTGGAAGTGGATATAGAAGAACTATGAAGTTGATATCAAGTTGATATCAAGATTCGGTTTCCATGGGGGGTTAGATTGTATTGTTAGTGTTGTACATACATGCCATGCATTTTGATTCGTAAAAGGTGTGCACCTTTTGGAAATGTGTTTGACGTATCCTGCAGAGGTGCCCCATTTTCGCTCAATGCAGCGGATGCCAATACCAGCTGGGACCTTGGGATCCGAAGTGTCGGTGAACAAATTCCCACCATTTCCACCATTTCCCAATTGCAATAGGTTTCCCAATGAGTACCGATCTATTGAATCTATATGGAATCTATAGGTAGTCTATTCCAATGATCTGTGATTTGGGTTTGTCCGGAAGGTGTGTCGCAAATCTAAGACCTTAACATGGGATTTCCAAAGGTGAAGACCGACAACTTTGTGTTGATGATAAGGAATACTCCATTTTTGAGGTGATCCAGTTGTGCACCAGTGCACCAACAAATTGGCATAGATCATGGGAATTCATGGACATGTTTGCGGTTTTGGATCTTTCAACTCCTCCAATTCCCATAGGGATGCTGAGCCGAGGCACTTGAGCTACGAAGCACAACTCTTTTGGAAGCGCGAACACGTGCAGCAGGTGGGGCGGCGATGTGTGGAAGCTGGACCTGCTATCTTCGGTTCCAACGAGGTAACATTTAACAAATTAGTTGGTCAAGAGGAAACATGGTTGATGGTTAGATATTAGAAATCCACCATTCATATTGGCATTTTGGTAAGTCTACGATTCAAAACACATGCCATGGCCCAGACCCATGCCATGGCCCAGACCCATGCCATGGCCCAGACCCATGCATTCTCTGAATGGTTGGGAACTATTTGGATGACGGATGCCCTTCCAGCCTGCTGGTGTTCATGTCCAATGATGGGTCTGAGTCAAGGAGATAGCGATGGGAGACGCTCAACAAGACCATTTTTGTGTATCCCTCTTCGGCCCTCTTCATCGGTTTACGTGGTTAGTACCAACAAATTATTTCATTGTGATTTCGATGATGCTCTGTCCTTCGTGGGCCCTTGATGGAGCCAACTGCAGGTTTCAATTGTTTGGGTCCCAGGTGAGTAAAACTGGATGAGCACCCCCTTTTGTTGATCCGAGCTCATTAACCGCAGACAATTGGTATCTTTGATGGATGGTTGTGGGTCAAGACTCAACCCTCCAGAAAGTGTGTGCGTCAAGCTCAAATATTGGATGGGTTAATGCAAGAAACGACCAGTTCAATCCATATTTTGATAGGATAAGTATGGATTCTTCACCCTTGGCGTTGCATGGCTGTGTCTCGCAGCCCATTGTGGCTCCGCTTCAACAAGAACATGGCGACACGGATCGGGCGCCGCCGCGCCGGCGTGGCGCTGCTGTTCACGGCGTTCACAGCCACAGCGTTCATCAATGTGTCGCCCAACTGGAACCTCCAGAGGGAAGATGAGGCCCACGGCACCACGGCACCACGGCACCACGGCACGGTGAAACTTGTGAAATGTGAAACAAATGTGAAACAAATGTGAAACAAATGTGTAAAAACATCAAATGGAAACCACACTTTGTTAGAAAATGGTTTTGCTTTCATGATTGAAGATGGCGAGCCAGTGGAGAGATACTGCTCGGGTTTGTTTGGCATTCAATTTCCCCAGTCCTAGGCTTTACACTACAATGTCACTACAAGAATCATTGCTGCACAACTCTATGGAACCTTCCTGCTTTTGTTCGCTTTCTCAGAAAAAACCTGTTGGTCGTGTACCCCATGTTGCTCATGCTTGGGTTGCCTGAAACATGTATCTTTCGTGGCTACCACACATGATGTGCAGAAGGTTCCGGGCCCCTTCCCCATCTGCAGATCAGAGGGTGATGAATTGAATCCGATTATAGAAATAGTTGTTGAATCCGAAGATCGGAATCCGACCATCGGAATGACATGTGTGTTCCCCCATTTCTAGTTTCAGCAGAATATATCGTTTGCTCGCCCTACTTGGAAAGACGATCAAGATAAATATCAAATCCGGTGCAGGTAGAAATCTGACTCACTAGCGAGTTTCCATCCCTAGCATCCATGACGAACTTGACAGTGGAATGGCTCAGAATTACCCCCAAGATGGTACCGTCGGGACCGCGCCAGGCGTTTCAGCAAGGACTCTGGAAAGCAGTGGCCCTCTTCAACGCAGCCTGTTGGGGCTCTTCGTATGTCTCCTCGCAAGTGGGTGATGGTTGATCCCGTTGATCCGTGTCCCAGATCCGGACCAAAAATGCCAAGAAATGGGGTGTTGCCTTGTTACCTAAGTTTGGAGAATTGGATACCCCAATTTCCATCAATTTCCCATGGTTTAGTGCACATTTTGCACTAAATCAGCATAAATCAGCTATGTTCCGGTATTCCCCATTTACAGATACAGCCACCTTAATCAGCCAATATATGTCGAAGGGAGTATCACCTAGCAATTCTGGGACCTTCAATCAGGGCGGAGGCAAGACCGGTGTGGTGGCTCCTGATCATCAGGGAACGTGATCCGTCATGGATTCCACCTGAAACCAGATGTTTCTCAAGTCATTGGGGTACTCTTAAGCATTGATTTATTTGATTTATATTGGTTTCACCCCATTCAAAATTACTGCAAGTTGGATGATAAATTGGATCCTGACTTTGGACACCCAAATCCTGTAAGTTGCATATCCCATGATGCCCACATGATCTCCCAATGATATCCCCACTCGAAACCACAACTCGAAACCTTAACTTGGGAGCCTGGGAGACCATGTTTCCACAAGTTCCAGGCAGGAATTGATGCCCTGAGCACCGCCGGTGTGGAAGACGCCGCCGTAGTCTTCGGAGCCTGTCGCCCCTTGGCGCGGACGCCACATCTTGACCAAAATTCAATGACTCCAAATGAAGTTTTCCAAAGCGAATGGTTGAAGAAACTGGAATGCACTCCAGCGATAGTGGTTCCCTTCTCAATAAGTTTGCCAATTTTCCTGTGAAAACTTGGATAACTGCCCAAGTCCCTGGGAGAAACGGTTCATCTTTTGCTGAACCAACCAATGATTTTTGTTGATCTGTTGCCTTTGATCCGTACGCCAGTTTCCCTGGGTTTGCATTTGTCTGGTAGACTTTTTTTTTTCGATGTTGGTTTTAAACATACGCTACTGTATCTTTTTTTGCAGGTTGGACAAATCCCTGATGGAAATCATGTGTTTACAGGACAGTTTAGATGTTTAAGAGTTTTCAATACGAAAGTGCCTCACCTGTAGACAGACCTTCAAGCTCTGGCTTATTCTTATTTTTCGGGTAATCAAACTTTAATTTATGGACAATTTCCCCTGATGTGGGTTTACCGCTCCCAATTTTCCAACCCTACTGACGTGTAGTTGTGCAATATCTGTATTCTTTTTGAATCAATCTCAGAAAAACAATTCCAATAGGCATCAAAACTTGTCTCCCCAGCAAAATGCGTACTCATTCCTACTCAACAATCTCGTTTCATATCCAAAAAATAGTTCGATATGTTAAATTTCTATCCTGCCCTTCCTGCCAATCTTCCATCATCTTCCCCTTGGATCCCCCGGCCAGTAGCACCAGCACTGTTTGGGGGAGGCTTTCTCTTGGCCGCTCTGCCAATGCTTCCGTGGATCCTAAAGTCCAGTTGCCCTGAAAGCGCCAGAGGCGCCCTAGAAATGGGCTCGGATTGGTGATCTTTAGAAGATATTTGCATATATTTGCCTGATGTTTGGGTTTGGGGTTCTTGCCACTTGCCCCTTCACAACCTGATGTTTTTCCGCTTCAACACATCTGGACTTGATGGCACAATGACGGCATACTTAGCTGACACCCACAAGAGCTTCGCCAGGTAGTGCATTGGTGGGCAGTCTGAGTGCCATCGCATATGCTGCGGTCTTTGCTTCGCTGTCTCACGGGACCACTGGGGCGAAAGCAGCTTTCATCATGGCTTTGCAGAAACTCGGCAGAACACAGGGGAAACAGGGCAACGTCACAGGCAAAACATGGAACAAACGTCTTGTGGTCGTGGTCTTAATGGTTTGCCCCGTAGGTGAGATTGCTACACCATCCCGCCTTAGGTGTCGCAGGACAGCGTGATTTGGGATGATAGATTCCGTCTTGACTGGTTGCATACACATTGTGTGTTGTTAAATCTTGGTGAATCTCCTGAAGCATCCTTTTCTTGTTGATAGGAATGCTCATGCCGGTTGCATATGTTGGTTGACATCCGGTTCATGTTCAGATTCCCAGCAGGAAATTGTTGCTTTTTTCAGACCCAGAGGTGCATCAAATTCCTGCGGCGAGCAACTGGATTTTTTCTCCGGAAAGCTTGACCCTTAATGATTCTTAATGTAGGAGAAACATGGAGAAACGAGAAACTATGCCATGCTGAAAGTCTCGCCAACGTCAAACGCCGGTTGTGCGGAGGCCAACAGCAAAACATCTATGTTACAGCAAGTATATTTCAAGTATTGAATGTCACGGAGTCACGGATAAGCACATTTGAGAAGTGCGGTCATTGAGGGGACAAGGCTGCAATTGTTGCTGTTGGTTTGCAAAACTGGGTTAATAAACACTTCGGTGGGCTATGTTCTGAATTCTGACTGCTTGCCGCAGCTACTGCACGCACTTTAGTAGCCAGCTACACCGCAATTGCACTTGAACTTGTGTTATGCGCCGTGGTTGGCGGGTCCTCTTCTCTCGTATTCCTTTAGAATAATCTGCACTCTTTTGTGTTTGCGATAAAAACCATGTGCCAACAATTCGTATTAATTTGTGTCTGTGGAACAGACCATGCGGCGACAATTTTTCCGGTGCAACTACGAGATGGGCTGAAATCACCAAGCAAACTTAAGGATCTTAGTCTTAGATGATCTCCTGGTATGCCGGAGTTGTTGATCACATTGATCACATTGATCACATATTCCCATCATTTTCCCGAGGACCATCATCGTGGCCTTCTGTAGCTCCCTGGCGGCGAAGCGCTTTCAGCTGGGTTCAATGGCATCAGCCTCTTGGTGGAAACAAAAATAGGACCTGCCGATAGGGTTTGGTAGTGAGCAGAGGTGATAGGTGATGAAAGCCGGCCCAAAACCGCAGAAGTCCAAAGTTTCAAAGTTTATTCGCCAAAATTATTTTTACTGATTTTAGTTTTAGATTTGACTGCTTCTGATATTTGCTGTAGGGTTTCAAATTTGCAAGATTCCCAGAGTCTCAGAGCAGATTTTTTTCAGTCAGCAACTAACTGTAAGCGGACATTTTGCAACAAATTGAAGGAAACAAATTGAAACAAAAAACAGCTCTTGCAGAAGGTCTTCAGATGCAGATTCAGGGGGCAAAACCATAACCATTAGGAGATGATTTGTTGGGATGCTTGCTGGTAAGTTGCAAAGTTGGTTTAATTATGAGACACAGATCGCACTTTAGGCAATGAAGCGTGGATACGTTCCAAGCAACGCGAGAAATTGACCAACAAGTTCTTTGACCAGCAAAAACATGATGTTGGGTTTTAACAATGAAACTGGCGTAAATGAACACAGGTAGATTGACGTGCAAAGCGGGATCTAACCCAGGTATGACAGTTGTATCATCGTTGATTCAACCAACAGGTAGTGTACACAAAAAGCGGAGTGTGACTGATGACCAACAGTCATCCGAACGCAAAAACCATATTTGGAGGGTCCCCTTCCAATGATTTTGGGAAGTTAATACCTCCAAGTTTTCTTCATGAAATCCCTCCCCAGTTTTCATGATTCTATCAATTTCTATGATATTTTAAAATATGTTCGTTTTCTCTTCTTTTTAATGATCAACTTTGCCTGAGGCCTTTCTGGCCATTTGCGGTGTGGCTTTCCTAGAGCTGGGCGAAGTCGATGGCGCGTCCACAGCAGCGCCTGGTGACCTGCTGTGCATGGCTGCGCCGCTGCTGATGGGTTTGAGTTGGCACCTGCTGGGGGAACACATGAGAACCTTCCCACAGGACGCTGTCATGGTGACGGTGACGCTTTGATGCTTTCGGTGAGGTTGACCTTTGGAAATCTTGTGACTATGGATGACCTCAGAATTTTGGGCCGTTATGGATGATGAGGTATGGAGTGATGGATTTTTGTTGAGGTTCTTGGGAGGTTTTACTCAGGTGGGCCAATGGCGTGGGTATACCTGTGAGATTGTTGGGTTGATACTCTATGGCTCCAATTAAGGGTAGGAATGACAAATGACAAATTAAGATTATGACCAAATTATGACTTATTGGGCCGACCTTGTCATTGAGATGATTCCCGACTTCCTCAGTCTGGATCGATATTTCATGGGAAGATGGCATTTGGACGAGCCAACGATGTTTTTAGGGACAGAAACTGTGACTCAAATGTGCAGTTGGGGTAGGTACGACGAGCTCATGTTCCTTCAGGATACCATCCCTCTAAAGGCCTACCCGGCCTACCCATCAAGGGTACTCCCCGTGTGAGGGGATCCTTCCAGGGAATGCCCACGGGTCAGGATGCCACTCCGGCGGTGGCCATTCAGCTGGCAACTTGTCTGTAGATTTTTGCCGCTTCAACCTTGGCTTCAAACAGAGCCTGAAGCATGACATGAATCCGAGGATCATTGTGGACCTGGGCATCTGTTAAACTATATAACTTATATAATATACCAAGTTCCCTGGGCAAAACATTAGATCTACCCACCTGAGATGATTACGATAATGATCATGTACATTGGTAACATGGACGTTGAAACACGTCGAAACACGTCGAAACATGCTGAAACTCCAACTGCAACGAGACTGCAATGAGTCCAACACGAGGCTTGCTTTGCGTTGGTCTTCGTTGGCTGGAGCCTCTTTGAGCAGTTGATGGCCCATGGTGTTGGCGGCCTTGGAACATGGGTTCAACAAGTACCGACGCGTGGCAGGTGAAAGGATCAAACGTGTTTTTCAAACGTGTTTTTCAGGTGTTGTGACCTCAAAACATCTCAAAACCACAGTGATTCAAGTGATTCAGGTGACTCAGAGCGGTGCAGGATTGTGGATCCACGGATTTTGCCTGTTTCATGTCTATGCTCGCTGTGATAGCATTGTGGATGTTTATAGATCAGCGGATCCTAAGCCTTTGAAAAATGCGGCCTTCGACTCTCGGGTTTCGGTTTTAGTGCGAAACCAACCATGCCTGACACTCTCCACACTCTCCCGATCATGTCTCGAAAAAGGATGAAAAATGACAATCGTCACGAAGAAAGACATTTCCTGGTGAGCCAATTGTTCTGAGGACTTGGTTGGAAGTCCCAAATTTGCTACCTGCCTTGATCTTTTCCGCTTTCCTTGGAAATACCGAAACCTGGCAGCACGCTGCGCGACAGTCAGGTCAACGGGTCAACTCTTTTGGAGCACCAGCTGGAGCCCTTTCTACCTTTCTACCTTTGTAGCGGTTGGAACTGAAACGCAAGGACACCAGGAACAAATATGGTCCAAGTGATTTAAGGAACGCCAAAAGGCCCAAGGAACGTTCAGCATCATAAAGTCAAAAAATGGCAATGTTGGGGCCCAATCTTGAGGGTTCAATGGCATGCTATGTAAGGCTGAGTTTTGAACCTGGTAGGTTGAATGATTAGGGCCTGTTCTCAAGACCAGTTTTCGGATCCACCTATGCGCTATCAAGCAGGAAATGGCACCAAGAGATTTGCCACTTCTGGGTTTGTTCATGGCATACAGATTAAATCTCCTCCATGTGTTGGTTCAATCTCTGCTTTTGGTTGCTCCCATGCTCATTCTTGGTTTGTGGAACACCTTCACCTAAATTTCTTTTTTTTAAATATATTTAAAGTTTCAAGAAACTGTGAACATCCCGTCTGTGGTTGCTTCAACCCATCATTTGGGGTCCCAGATCGCCATTTAGGTGACCTTTCTGTTGTGCAACTGCGCCATGCGCAAGCTGAAGGCAGAAGAGGCTGGAATACCACAGAAAAACTGACCTCTACTGACCTCCTCGGTTGGTTTAATGTGTTGGGCTTGATGTACCGTTTCGACAGATTCTTGTTACACCCATGTTTTTTCAGTGCTCTTCCCATCATCCCTGTCTGGATTCACCTCCATCGAACACTTGAGGCCCAATCCCCCGGGATCAGCACACTAAGATATCAGATCCCCACAGATCGGATAGCCGCAGATTGGATAAAACTGGGAGTCTTGGGCCAAATCCATGGTGATTAGAGGATTGGATCTATGGAATCTATGGGATATCTGAGGATTTCCCATCCCATTCAGAGAAGCCAACAAATCCCAAGACTTGATGCTGCATTTCCTGGGAATTACCCTCTTTAGAGAATGCCCCCCAGATCGGATATTAAACTTCCAAGTCTTGGAGATGTGAATTCTCTGATTTTCCGATACAGCTCTATTGTGATGAACATTACCCCAGTATACCCCAATACAGTAGATAGTGGATTAGATAACCCTTTGGAGTAATTGGAGGCATGATACAATAGATCCTAGAGTATTCCAGATCAGATATGGTTAGACCATATTATTTATGGCAAGTCGGTCTTGGAACATGTTCGGATTGAACGATAGTAAAATTATCAGTTAATATGTCAACGACATTAGTCATGATACTATTCAAGATATTATTAACAATATTATTCATGTTTTTCATATCATTCATATACTATTCATTATATTACTAGAATGTATTAGACAACAAATGATCAATGAATAGTTTATCTTTACGATGCATATATTATACAAATTATTAGTGCATACAGGCTAGCATCTAAACATATCATCTAAATGACTGTATAGATATTATTAACATACTAAGATTATAAGATATAGTATCATTAATAATTGTTATCATCAAAATCATCTTCGGTAGTAATCACAAATTATTGAAAGATATTCTGTAGATATCATATTAGTAATGGTTATATGAAAGTTATATTGAAATATATTAATATTAGTTATATCATGAAATCAGTCATATCGATATATCCATCAATATCCCAGTATTATCCCATCATTATCCCATTATCATCACTGTAAAACCATATTAAACCATATTAAACTATCATGAAGATGAACTGGGATAATTACACCATAAGTACTATTAACCATATTACACCATATTAAACCATATTAATTGTACTTATATCGATATAACTTCGGTATTTCTCAGGTGTCGCTGCTGTCGGCCTCAGAGCCGCTGTGGGCGGCGCTCTGCGCCTCGCTGATGTTGCACCAGTCTTTGGCGCCCAGCGAATTGGTCGGAGGCGCCGCCAGTGGAGTGGGGATGGGAAGTTGACCCAAAAAAGTGGGGAAAATGGTGGGAAACTGGTGGGAAAACTAAGATTTTTCCACCAAGGCAATGGAAAGATAGAGAATTTTGAAGCTGGAGAAATGGAACGATTGCCAGCAAATTGTGATTTAGTTAATCATAAAACAGCAAACCAAAAAGGCCAGAATAAAAGGCCCAATCACAGTGGCTTTCCTTGAAAGCCTTCATTTTTTTTGTGCAGTTTCGAACTGATTTTCAGGTGCCACCCCAAACCCCTGTCTAAAAGAGCTGGAAAAGTCATGATCTTGAGGAATTTTGCCAATGACACATCAAGCAATCCTCAGGTATTTGAAGGACTTGAACCACAAATAATATTCCAAACTTTGGAACTTAAATGATTATCACGAGTTTCAAATTTCTACAGTTCAAATATCCAAAGGATTTGCACCCTCAAAATATCTTGAAAATGACACGTCTTGGTGTAGGCGCCTTGGTGGTCGTGGCCATCATCGCTGCAGAGCTTCCTGATTTCCATGTGGTCAAAATTATTCAATTTCATGGACGCTGGGTCAATAAGAATTAAAGGACCGGATAACCCCACATGTTACCAACTTCTTTATCTATCTATCTATCTATCTATCTGTCTGTCAAACCTGCCAGGCCGACGTGAACATGCAGCCTGCAGGTCAAAAATGCCAGGTCAAACATGGCAGGGAGACGAATGGCGTAAGCCATGGATATCAAACATGCCAAGCCGACGCCAAAAAAGGCCACCTGAAGGCCAAAAAAGGCAACCTGAAGGCCAAAAAAGGCCACCTGAAGGCCAAAAATGCCAGCAAAAACATGACAGGGAGACGTAAGCTATCTATGTAACAATCTATTTATCTATCTACCTATCTATCTATCTATGCATCCATCCATGCATCCATCCATCTATGTCTCTATCTCTATGTCTCTATCTCTCCATCCATCCATCTATCTATGTCTCTCTCCCTATCTCTCTCTCTCTCTCTCTCTCTCCCTCTCTCTCTCTCTCTCTGTCTCTCTCTCTCTCTCTCACTCTCTCTCTTCTCTCGCTCCTCTCGCTCGGTCCGCTCGGGGCGGCTCGGGTCTCTCGCTCTCGTCTCTCGCTCCTCTCCGCTCTCTCTCTCCTCCCTCCTCCCTCCTCCCTCCTCCCTCCCTCCTCCTACTCTCTATCGATCTATCTATCGTCGATCTAATCTAATGCTGTCTATCTAGCATGCATTCATCCTCAATCATCCATTCTATCTATTTCCCCTTGTGTTTCCCCCGGTTCTATCTTATCTATCTATTATCTGTCTATCGTCCCTGAGTAGTTTGAGTGAGTGAGAGTGAGTGTGAGTGAGTGAGGAGTGAGTGAGTGTGAGTGAGTGTGAGTGAGAGTGAGTGAGTGTGAGTGATGGTTTTCTCCAGAGCTTCTATGAGCTTCTCCCATCTTCCTGGTGGCCCCAGGCTGCCTTTGGCCGGTGGATAGTCGGGCGTCCAAGTCGCACCCTCCTGCCAATATGCATTGGCCTGGACAAAAGAACTGGCTTGAAGGCCAAAAATGCCAGCAAAAACATGACAGGGAGACGCAAGCTATCTATGTAACAATCTATTTATCTATCTACCTATCTATCTATCTATGCATCCATCCATGCATCCATTCATCTATGTCTCTATCTCTCCATCCGTCCATCTATCTATGTCTCTCTCCCTATCTCTCTCTCTCTCTCTCTCTCTCTCCCTATCCCTCTATCTATCTATCGATCGATCGATCTATTTGTCTATCTATCCATGCATCCATCCATCAATCAATCCATCTATCTATTTCTCTCTCTCTCTCTCTCTGTCTCTCTATCTATCTACCAGACCTGTCTATCTATCTATCTATCTATCTGTCTATCTGTCCTTACATCAGGATATCTATCTATCTACCAATCAATCAATCTATCTATCCATCGATCGATCTCTCTGGCTATCTATCCATCTATCTATCGATCTATCTAGCAATCTATCTGTTCAATCTATCCATCAACAATCCATCCATCCTGCATGAGTGAGTGCGTGAGTGAGTGAGTGAGTTAGTGAGTGAGTGAGTAAGTGAGTGAGCATGTGAAAGAGTGAGTGAGTGAGTGAGTGAGTGAGTTAGTGAGTGAGTGAGTGAGTGAGTTGGTGAGTGAGTGAGTAAGTGAGTGAGTGAGTGAGAGTGAGTGAGTGAGTGAGTGAGTGAGAAGAGGCG